ATTTTCTATCACCAGAAGTCGTGGATCTTTTACAAAGAATGAAAAGGCTCATGGATAACAATGTTGTGTCACCTAAAATAATGAATATAATTTTTAAGATGATTAATTTTGTCATTAAAAAAAAGTAACGAACCAAATTATTGTTCGTTTGTCATATATATATATATATATATATATATATATATATATATATATATATATATATATATATATATATATATATATATATATATATATATATATATATATATATATATATATATATATATATATATATATATATATATATATATATATATATATATATATATATATATATATATATATATATATATATATATATATATATATATATATATATATATATATATATATATATATATATATATATATATATATATATATATATATATATATATATATATATATATGACAAAGATAGATGCATATAAACTTCCCATATTTTCCTTTTGTTGAAAAAATATTACTCATGCAAATGTTCAAAAAAGTAATTAACTAATATAAAGCAAAACTCTTTCATCCCATTAGTGTCTCTATCATTGAGTTTCCACCTCATCAACTTTATTTTCAAATTCAAATTTTTTTCCACCTTTCATTTATTTCAAATTTAACTATGTTATACTCAAATTTCAACTTCTCTCATCTTCTTATAAACTTTTCCAAAATACAAAAAGAATATATATGATCATTCTATTGAAATGGAAGCAATATTGTAATATAAATATTTATCAAAAAAAAAAAAAATACAATCATTTTACTTTTTATTTTTATTAGTTTTAATGATAAGAAAAAACTATAATATAAAATATAGGCGAAACTAATGTTTTAGTCTTTTAAGTTATTTTAAAATATCAAATTAGTTCCTTAAATTTTTTTTGTAATGCTTTGGTCCTTTCTTAAAAATCTCTGTTATAATAAATTGCAATCTCATATACCATTTGAACTAGTTTTTCACATTGATCACGAATATGCAATCAAAGTTATTAAACAAGTTACGGTTCATGAGAATTAGGTAAAAATAGACAAAATATATAAGGAAAAATCATCGATCCGACCAAAATACACAATCAAACGCAAAACTAATTACATATTCGTGATCAACATGAAAAACTAGTTCAAATGGTATATAAGTTTGTAATTTATTATAACGAGTATTTTTTAAAAAAAGACCAAAGTGTTACAAAAAAACATAAGGGAATAACTTGATATTTTAAAATAACTTAAAGGATCTAAAAAGTAATTTTGCCTAAAATATATCAATGATGAGTTTGTGAATAAAAATTTACCCAAAAAAGAATTTCAAATCTGATAAACATAAACGATCAATTCAAACCTAAAAATATGTATTAAAAAAATTAATATATTTATTAAACTATAATATTAAATTATTTATAAATAATATAATGATTAATTAGTCATATAAATATTCAATGAAACCTATAAATATATATAAGAAAACAAGAGAAAAACTACATTATAATATATATATATATATATATATATATATATATATATATATATATATATATATATATATATATATATATATATATATATATATATATATATATATATATATATATATATATATATATATATATATATATATATATATATATATATATATATATATATATATATATATATATATATATATATATGTGTGTGTGTGTGTTATATTTTACTTTTTATATTTATTAGTTTAAATGATAAGAGAAAAAATTAAAATATAAAAAACAACATGTTTGAAAATTTCATATCTAATAAACATAAACTGTCATTCAAAAATAACAATAACTAACAAAGTTTTTTCAATATATTTATTAAATTTTAATTATTAAATTGTTAATAATTAATATAATGATTAGATAACTATTTAAATATTCAAAATCATGAAATTCTCTTTTACTAATATAAACTCATTGTACTTCCGTAAAACCTATAAATATTACAATAAAAATATTTGTTTTGGCATGGGCCCCGGCTTGGCCAGGCAGGCCCAGCCCAATAATATTCTGCTAAGCCCAGTTCAACTTGAGCCGCAGCGTCGGGCACAGTGTCCCAGACGAGCAGGTAACGCCCCTCTGCGGGCAGAACCTGCCTCATTTACGTCGAGCACAAGACTCCCGCATCGATCGAACACTGCCCTCTCCGCGGGTAGAACCTGCTCACCTGTCGGGCAAGACAACGTGTCCTTCACACGTTCTCCACGTGCTCTCCTCCGCGGGGACACGTCACCGACCAACTGCCCACTTCCGAAAGACCAGGTCAAACCCACTTTCCGGAGATCACAGGACAGTTGGACTAGGGCAAAGACCACGTCCTGGTCTTCACTACGCCACGTAAGCCCTAGCAGTCACCTGGGTTGGGCCTGGCAATCCAGCCCAACACTAGTGACCGTTGGCCCAGCGCTGGGGTCTCTCTATAAATACCCTCTTCTCCAAGAGGGTCAGGAATTCATTTCTTACCCCTTTTTCTGTATTTGTTTTCACTCTGCCCAATTCCTTACTTTGGCATCAGAGTGTCTTGCAGGTACACGCCCCTCCTCATCTTCATCACCGGTGAACAGGCAGCAGCCCATCAGAGTGTGGCCAGCTATTGATCCCCTTCTGATCAGGTCAGATCAGTGGCGCCGTCTGTGAGAACTAAGCTTCCTCGTTCCTCCGAGCAGAGAACCAAAGCTTCATCTCAAAACTTCAGGATCAGGACTAGGCCATGTCATGACGACGCTGTTCACAACTCCGACCACGTCCCCGTCACCAACGCGAAAATCAGGTGGGGACATCTCAACTACGCGAAGAGGGGCAGGACCCTCGCTGCCAACCAGCCAGCCATTGCCCTTCCTTCGTCGGGCAGAAGACCTGTCGAGCAGGACCTTGGCTGCCAACTAGCTAGCCCTTGCCCTCTCCTTCGTCGGGCAGAAGCTCTGTCGAGCAGGACATTGGCTGCCATCCAGCCAACCTTTGTCCTCTCTTTCGTCGAGCAGGACCTTGGCTGCCAACCAGCCAACCTTTATCCTCTCCTTCGTCGAGCAGGACCTTGGCTGCAAACCAGCCAGCCCTTGCCCTCTTCTTCGTCGGGCAGGACCTTGGATGCCAACCAGCCAACCTTTATCCTCTCCTTCGTCGAGCAGAAGCTGTCGAGTAGGACCTTGGCTGCCAACCAGCCAGCCCTTGCCCTCTCCTTCGTCGGACAGGACCCCCCCTCCTCTTCCAGACCTCTGACAGACAGCTAGCGGATCAACGTCATGTGACAAGTTCTTGGTCCACTTCTGATCAGGTCAAATCAATATTTATAATAAAATAAAAGAAAAAATTAAATATAAAAAATAATAATTATACTAATACTAAATTGCCCTTTCACTGTAACTTTTTTATACTAAAAAAAATGCATTCAAATAATTAAGTAATGTATATATTTTTAATTCTCATCTTATTATATCGTGCTACATAGCTCAAAAACGCTTTAACTTTTTCCCTTTTCTTTTGACTCAAATTTCAATTTTTTTCCCACTTTTTCACTTTTATTTTAAAATGTTCTCTTTCCATCTCATTTTCTTTTTCTTTTTATTGTTGAGTATAAAAAAATTAAATCTTTTCTAATAAAATGAAGGAAAAATACACAAATATTTAATTTTTAAAATGCAAAATTTAGTCTCAATAAAAAATATAATTATTTTATGGTTATTATAAAATTAATCATAATTATTATAAATATTAAATTAACAAATTATTTTATAAAATTGTTCAAACAATTAACAAGTAATTATCAACATAATATTTAATTTATTTTTAATTTATTATTTTTATTTGAGAGACAAAAAATTTATTTTAAAATATCAATTTTTTTTCTTCATCACACGAGTTCTTTTTTTTCATACAAATGAATTTATACAATAATTTTTTATTTTATAATTAAATCACTCATTTCAAATTTATTTAGATATCTAAACATATTTTATACTTAATAAATTGAATAATACTTAATCGCAGTGTAGACAACTAATTTTTTATTTCAAGAATTATTATAAGAATCATACTTATTTTATTTTAATCAACAACTACTATTATTTGAAAAATAAAATATTTATTTTCAAATGTCAAAATTTATTTTTCTTCGTCTCATACGTTTTTACTTTTGTTTTTGTACATATATTTTATATAATTGAGATTATATGATTACTTTTATTTTATAATTACGTAACTCATTTCAAATTTATATTTATAATTAAATACATTTTATATTATATAGAATTGGGTAATATTTTGTAGGGGATAAACAATTTTATTTCACGGATCATTAACAACACAATACTTATTTTATTTTTAATCAATATTAATTAAATTTATAAAATCACTGCTCATTTTACAATTAAGTACTCCACCCATCCTAAATTATAAGAGTTTTAGTCCTTTAACACAAATTAATTAAAAACCTTAATTATTACTTTATACATAATTACATAATTCAAACATTGAACCAAACATACTCTTTTGTACTTGAGAAGCAAGTGTGTGCCAATTGCCATTAATATATAATGCATACAGATAATATACAGAGAACTTGAAGCTGAAAGTTAAAATTAATAAAATAAAAGCACCTAATTATTTTAAGTGCGTGTATATATATATATCTTTTGTACAATATTTCAACTGAATATTATTTTTTATTCTCTATAAAATTGATGGAGCAACAATTAACCGCCGCTACACAAGTCACTTTCACAATATGACAAGTGGCTATTCTAAACACGTTTTGATGAAGATTATTGCAAAAGAATAAAATACACGGTTCTTCCACTTTTTCTTTTTTTTTTATTTGAAAAAAAAATACGTTCATTCTTATCTAACTTCATTTTTTATTTATTATTTAATCATAGCAAATAGAACCTTCTCCGAATGCTTATAAATATGATATGTATGATTGCTCTTTCCTTCAAATACCTACCAAACCAACATTTTCCAAAACAAAAAATCAATATGCAATCTATTTCTTTGATAAATCCCACTCCATTATTCCACCAATTTTCATCCACCAAGTCAAAGAAACCCATTTTGTTTGTTCCTGTTATGGCTTCCAAAAGAGATAATAATTTTGGAGGCAAGTTAGTGGATGAAAGTATGATCATCTTAAGGAAAAGGATCCATGAGATGAACATGATGGAGAAGAACTATGAAGCACCTTCTAATTGGATGGAATGGGAGAAAAGTTGTTATTATACAAACTATGATTCAGTCATATGTGAAGCAATGAGAGTTTTACAGACCAAGTTGATGAATACTAGGCCAAGTGTTGCTTTTGGGGCTATGGCTTTTGTTGCAATTAGTGTTCCATTTTCTTCTTTTCTTGTTTTGGTTCATCTTTTGGAATTTGCTAAATCTGTTTTAGGTGGTCTTCATTTTTCTTAGCTAGCTTTTCATGTGATTAACTTAATGTTTTGAGTTGGTGTATTGGTATTTGAAAAAGCCAACAAATTCATTTTAAATATATATTTTGGGATTATATATCATACATAATAGTAATTGCAGTTGGTTTTGGTTTTTGAAATATATGCAATCTCGTTGTGTTCTACTTCTTTCAAAAGATGTTAACTCTAGTTCTTAGATGTTCTTTCATACAAGTTATCTTAACCCCGAAGTTTGTATTTATAGAAAGCGTTAAGCATCTCCACCCCACAACGTGGAGAACACATGGAAAAACACTTTACAAAACACATTTTAGAGGTGAAATCCCAATTTATTCTTAAAAGAAAGACGAGTCATATCTAAATTTGATCTATATTTAACTTTTATCATGACATCAGTACACTTATAACTTCTCTATTTGTACGCGAAACAAATGCCTTATCAAAGTGATTTAAGAGGCTCTCAATCTTTCTGAATATCTCAAATCCATCACTTCTTTTAGATTTACCAATATTCAAATCCATCACTCCTTTTAGATTTACCAAACTAAAATTTCTAACAATTTTAGAGGAATATGTGTTTACTTCGATCCTCTTGAATTCTAAATCTAAAGTAAACACCAACCCTTTAAAAATATTTCATAATTCGATTATATACTACTACACATCTCCACATTCTTGTAAAAACCTTTCTTGTAAAAACCTTTCGGTCAACACCTTTCTCATACCTGACTAGACCTCCACAACCTGCAAAACCACCGTCAATGCATGTCCATCCACATAGACCTCCACAACCTGCAAAACCACCTGACTAGACCTCCACAACTTGCAAAACCACCGTCAATACATGTCCATCCACATTAAATTTCACTTCACCATACCTGTTTTAGGCGGTTCCCACTAACAAATATAGTTTCCTTATTTTGACCCATCCTTATTCTTGCTCATCAAGACTTCATAATCTTTCAACCAAATGACCACATGCAAATCTTTCAACCAAATGACCACATGCTTAAGATCCCAATCCTTATTTTTACCCAACCTCATTCTTGTTCATCAGCAAATTAAGATCCCAAGGCCTAACAAAATCCTAGTGGAGGCATTTTTCTAATGGAGTAGAAGTTATAAAATTTAATAGATTGAATTCTCTGCTCCAACATGTTAACCAATTAATAGCTTCATAGTTGAAAAAAATTCCAGTGATGAAGAATAGATTCCCTAAAAATAACTTCTTTTTAATTTAGTTATTGCAAAATGGCGATGCTAACTGTTATGAGAAACTGTTACTTCATGTAACTTTTTCCTTTTAAGTAACTTTTTCCTTTTAAGGATGTCTGTTGTACTTTGTGTAACTTTTTCCTTATTATCAAGGAGCTCTCTTTTTAATATATGCAAAAAATTACCCTTTATTTATTACCCTTTATTTATTCAAAGTGAAAGAGAAACTTAAAAAATTAAAAGAAAAAATAGTAATAGATAATAAAGAGTATATTGCAAAAAATTGTCATTAATATTGCGCATTTGAATTGTATAATAACTTATAATTTAAAACATTTTTTTTTGACAAAGTGACTTATAATTTTTGCAATATCAAATTATCACTTTGGGCTGATTCCAAGATTGTCAAGTTGAACTGAGCATAATATAATTCCAATGGATTTCCTATCCATACTTCAAAAAACTTACTATCAACAATCAACAAAGTCTAAACAAAACAGTTAATGTTAAACTGTTCATCTTGGCTTAAAGGTACTGCAACATAAACTAATGAATATAACACTCCTACAAATATTTTCCTTAATATAATGTTCAGAACTCAAAACTGGAGGCCCTTGCTTACTACAAAGAGGATAGTACATTAGTTATTTAAAAATCCTTCAAAAGTTTCTTGTCATCTTTCATGACATATGCTGCTAGACCATCATCAGCCTTCATCTAGGGGAAAAAGGTAACAACTGAATCAGTTAAATGTGTACACAATCAATTCAGGATTATTGAGCAAAATGCAAAATCATATGTTCCCTTGCAGGTTTAACAGCAAAAATACATCCAGAGACATCAATTAAAACATATGTAGAAGGAAAATGGATCCTCCAATTAAAACTCTAATCGACCATTTTATGTTTGATAATTTGAGAGTATAATTTGATACGATACTCTCGCAACATACACTGATAAAACTGAAAAGAGTTCACTACTTAAAACCAAATTAGGGCAATAGATGCAAAATGTTAACATGAGAGATCCACTATCTTTGCCGAGGTGAGTGGTCGAACTTTTAAAGAGGAAACATGTTACCTACTCAGTCTTCGAACTTAATCTTCTTTGGAGCAGGATGGAGGTTACCCACCTGCAACAGAAATTTGACACAAAATGAGATAATTCAAGACATGGACAGTCAAAACACTTATTAGATAAAAAGATTAATAAAGGAAAAAAGCTTACAATCTCGGGACATTCATAATCAATGCCAGCGGCCTCTATCCTTTTACGGCGTTTTTTGTCACGTTTCATAACCCTATCAACCAACTTTTTATGTTCTTCTAGTGTCCTTTCCTGAAATGTCAAAACTATGAATACATTTTCTTTTCATACAGAGCACTGGACTAATAAAAAATAAAAGATATATCTCCTAGTGACACTAGATACCTTGTCGTGTCTCTCTCGTTCAATTTGGAGGGAGTCCAAGGGCTTGTATCGGTAATTGAACCCTTTCCATCTACAAAGAAAAACACCACCATTTCATTAAACTTCTTGATTATATTGAAGAAACAAAACAAATTATTTATCAGGCATGACATGTAATATACCATTAATTCAAATTTATTTCTTTAACATATATTTCCGTCACATGTTTCTATTGTTTTAACAATTTCTGTTGTGTTGGTATATTAATCATATTTTGTGCAGTATATCATTCTAAGCTCTTGGGTCTTCTTTGCATAACAAAATTGATTGCTGCTGATAGCTTTAGGGACTTGGGGGATTCAAGTGTGAGATTTCATTCATTGACAGAATTAAACAGATTCAAATGTGATCAAAACTAATCACTGTTCCCCTTATCTATAATTAAATAGTTGCTTCAATTTTCAGTTAGCAAATCCGTAACACAAACAGATAGCAGTATATTGGAATTTCTCTTATATTTTCTTAATAATCGTTTATGATTTCTAACAAACCTAAGCTGACGGACCAGATACGTGCGCTTACATCTTAGTGCTTTGCATCGCTTAATGCAAGACAGGATAATGCTCTAGAACTTGGGTCAGCCTCAAACATGTGTGGGTTGGGTTAAAAACAATACTAGACATTTCCTTCCTGAACATTGTGGGAATATGATAGGTGTCCCACCTACTATTTGAGTATGGTATATCATCTGTTTCATAAGTCTCTAATTTATTTTGAGGGAAGGGATCAGAAAAAAGAATCATGGATGAAGGAGATAACCAACCTAAAAAGCCCACAAACTGCAACTTTGATAATGTCATCGCAATATGGAACCATTATCAGTCATGTTTGTAGGATAGGTAGGCTTATTTGCTGCTTTTCCTATCATATGATTCTAGTAAACTACCCCAGGAATCATTGATTCTCCATAAGAATTTCTTATCATTTCATATTAAACTCTCTTTAAACACAAGGAAAAAAAAAGAACAAGAAACAACTTTAAAATAGTAACTTACAATCTTGGATGAACATTTTCTGCAGGTACCACATAAACCTGAAGAAGGTGTTCGAAAAGCAAATAATTGTGCATAGTATCAGCGACAATTTTTGCTACCTATAGAATATAGAAATAGAAATGTTAGCACAAACAAGAGTTTACAACTAAAGATAATAATCAAAAATCAAAACCACAATAATCATACAGATGAAACAACAGTTACCTCGGGAGATTCAAATTCTATGAACCCAAAATGTTTGGATTTTCCGGTCTGTTAAACAAGAAAAAAAAGTATATCAACAAGGGGCAATATATATAACCAAAGATAGAGGGTATAAACTAACTAAATGATGTTGAAATCATGCATTCTTTTAAAACAAATAACAGGCATGCATGTCAAAAATTATTCAAAAGGTAAGGAACCAACCAAAATAAAAAGGATGCAAATACTAGTACACAAATGCTTTTTAACTATATAAGGAAAATGATGCATTCTTGGTATCGCAATACTCTAGAATAAAAGCTACGATTTTGCAATGTGCATTAAAAATTTAAATTAAAAGGTAATTGTACATTAGAATGAGAAATTCTAGAAATTAACATCAAAATTATAGAGCTCATTGACCAAAAAGAGTGATTAGATACAGTAAAACATAGCAAATCACAAATCATCGTCATAATGATAGTTGATAAGTGAGGTGAAAAACAAGTTTTGGAACTTGACCTTCTTATTTCTGGCTATTCTCAATCTCTTGATAGTTCCAAATTGTGCAAAATAAGCTGCAAAAGGCAAAATCATAAACATGATTATCTTCCAACTCAATAACAATCTTATCATATGAAAAAACAATAAACAAAAACAAAAATCTAAAACTGTAAGCACCTTCCATCTCCTTCTCATAGAAGCCATGTGGAATTCTACCAATGTACAAAACAGGTGAAGTATTCTCCAGAGGTTTAAGTTCAGGAAGTTTACGACCCGGACCACCCGCCAATGGCTACAAAACCAAATCAAATAAAAATTAAGCAACTAAACAAATCCACCAATGACTAAATAAACAAGTTCAAAAAATATTGAGCAAAAGTGGTATGAACTAGAATGTACCAAAAAATCAGCACTCTCAGATGGCTTAATTTTAGCGTTAACCCTTTTCAAATTCTTCTTCATAGCTTTCTTCGCCTTTGTCCCCATCTCACTTTTCACAATACTGTTAAAAAACGCATCAACAAACAACTACATACTTAGCCATAAACGAATTGAAGAAAGTAACAATCTAAACTTGTGACGAATCGCTCAGTGCTTAGTGATATAAGCCAAGAAACCCTAATTCATGTCTGGT